AGCAAATTGAAAATACTAGGAGTATACTCGTTTCAGATCTGAGGGATAAATCTTGTTGAATATGGCGGGAGTGGCTCAGTAAAGACCCCATCAACATGCTCACATCCTCATTTTTTTTCTGCAGTATTCTTAGATAATTAGATAGAGCTCGTCAGGTTCCACAAGAATCCCTGCTTTTTGATTTAGAAGAAAAATATTTTGCATGGAAAATGAATGTGGAAACTTTGAATTTAAATCCGAATGTTATGTGTATTTCAAAAAGTGAAATGGGCTCATGAGTCATCCTAGCACGCGTAGGCATCAGAATTATCCTAGCAAATCTCTTCTGTTAAAATTGGATTTGTATTGGTTATTGCTCAACCACCCATGTAGTCGATTGTTGCATTATTATGTAATTATTGCCAGTATTTTCCTTAAAATACATTATAATGGAAAATAATGGCAATAATTACATGATAATGCAACAAACGACTACATGGGCAATAGGGTTTTGAGACAAGTGGAGCTCAGATTCGAGTTCTCCGCTCTAGAAAACCTCCAAGTATCATCTTCATGATCAGAAGATGGAGCTTTACTTTTCGATCAATTGGAACGTGGACAAAAACACAACCAATTTCCGTTGAAGTATCTTTACAATAGGTGACTTAGCCTTCTTGTTTCTTAATGTTTTATATACCATATTGTAGCTCGTGAAATTCTCTATCGAATGGTATATAATAGTTGGGATTTTGTTTGATTATGAGAGGAAAAGTTTTTTATGAAAAGCGGGATAGGTCAATGTTCGCATAGAAAAGCATAGGGAATAATGACTCTTTTTGCGATAACTCAGCAATGGCTCAATGAGTCATTCTCATCTTCGAACTCGACCGAGATATTGATGAGACGAAACTGTGTAGAAAATTTCATCGCGATCGAACTCTCCTTTCAAAAGTGATCGTGTAAACGGACGGACACACTAACCGATTCTAGGATGTACTCACTTTTTGAGTACACAAAAAGGAGAAAACTACGGTTTTCATTTTTCCCAGAGGGTCATTATTTTTTTTTCGTAGTACTCTCTGTTGAAGAATTCAAAAGCACCCTTGACTCGAGGACCTATAAATGATTCTTGAAACGATGATTGATGGTGTTCAGATACAATATTATGATCAGTTAGTTCTTAGAATAGAGGTGAATCTTAGAGAAAGTGACTTAAAAAGGTGCGGTTGGCACAGTGATAGCTCTACTCGATTCAGTGAGTTAAGGGAATGGCATTTTGGCGTTTAAAACATTATATATTATCCAAAACTACCCTTTATTACACCTAAACACTGTTTCGAAGCAGAAAATTGACCTTCATAAACGGCATCGAAACGCTATTTTACGTAAGCGATGATCAGATACAAAAATAGCGTTTCGGTATTGTTTACGAAGGTCAATTTCCTGCTATTTTCTGCTCCGAAACAGCGTTTAAGTGTGATAAGCGGTAGTTCTCGACAATGTACAATGTTCTAAACAACAAAATTCCGTTTCATTGACTCACTGGAGCGGCGAGAACGGGTCTGTCGAGGATGAGACACTATTGAGTTGTGGAAATTTTTATTTTTTTTTAGAAGTGCCGAAATAATGTTTGTGTATTCTTTTAGAAGAAAGATTGTTCAGTTGCTAAAATTTGCGACAGCGCTCAATTTTTGATGTTTCAACCGCCACTGCAGTCGCTTGGAGTTTCGGCATCTTAAGTATTTAACCGATGATCCAATTTTATTTAACTAATCTTAAATCCAGAAAAAATCCTAGTTATCTTTTTAACTTTTCATTTCTTTTCTTTTTGTAACACAATATTTTCAACCACAATAGCTACAGAAATAATCTAATGAAAAATAAGCTCGAATTTTGCGATTCTCCCTTTGCGAAAACTAATTTTTAAGCAAAATAAAATTGATCTTCAGAATTTCAATAAATAACTTGAGAAAGTGGCTTTCATTTTGTCAAAAATATCTTTCTTTCAAATGTGAACCTTACTTTCCCATTTCTATTATCTGTTAATTTTGCCCATCATTCATTAGGTTAAAATAAAAAAAAAACAAATATTTTTTTGACAAAATGAAAGTCACTCTCTATCTCCAGTTGTTTATTGGAATTTCGACAATGAATTTTATTTTACAAAAGGATTAATTTTCGCAAAGGAAGAATCACAGAATTCGAGCGTATTTTTCATTACAATATTTCTGAATCTATTGTGGTTGAAAATCTTTAGCTTATTACCCACAAAGACCGAAGTTAAACTAAAAAGATAAATAGAATTTTTTATGAGCATAAGATGAGTAAAACAAATTGGAGATGCAAGTGTGGACGGGGCTAAGCAAAGACTGGCATTCACATTCACATCATACCGACACCATCATCATCACCAAAACCCATTAGAGAGATCTCGTTGAATATGTAAGTGCAGTCAAGAAAAAGAGTTCATATCAAACATCCTTTCCACAAGGACTTAAAAGGGTTTCGAAAACGTACCTACGATCGTAATCCTTTTAAAGGTGCTAAGGTATCCTGTTTTAAAGCTGTATTGGAAGTATCACAAAATAAAAGAAACGAAAATCGTTTCTCGTAAATTCTAGAAAATGTCGTCTCGCGGCTCTCATACGATAACAACAACAGAACAAGCACAAGCACAATGTCGTGCCATTATACTGAAATTAAAGCTACCGCCAACAAATTCAGCAGAAAATGAAGCACAACGCATGGTTAATGATTTACAACGACGTGTTAATAATAGATTCGACACGCTTGTGAAAAAATTTGTAATTGATGACAATGAACAAATGAATGCTGCATTGTTAGAGAAGCTAAAAAAAGTAAAAGATCCGAATACATTTCTGGAAGCAGTTTTAACACACCTATACGGTAAAGCAGCTAAAGAAGAAGAGAATGCAGTCTCTCCTCACGTTAATAACGAAGAGAAGCATGAAGTTGATACTATGGTTGAAAAAGTATACGCAAATGAGAAAAAAATATGATTTTACAATTAGTATTTGACTATTTATATTTCATTTATTGTTTCTGTTTCCTTCTTTTTTTCTGACATATTATAAAAATATTCTAAAACTTTGACTCATGTTCATTTTTTAATAAACAAGAAAATTAAAAGAAAATCAGTCGAAAAACAAATCGATTAATATATCAAGGATGTAGGTGTGTGTCTAGGGTGTGGCGGGTACGAACTACTATGATTCGGATTTCGATTTCTACTCAACGAAGCTCATCAGATAGCTTGATTTTCGGATACTTCGTAGATGAAGTAAACCTTTTTGTCTGTCATCTAATTAACGGAAGTCAAGTAGAAAACTAGAAAATCTGCTCTGTTGTGTTCAAACTCGAAAGTTCTAGTCACAGTGCCAGACTGCTCGATGTGGTGAGTACGAGCAGCCATGATCCGAATGAAAAAAAAAGTCACCTAAAACATAGCAACATTAAATAATGCTGATTATCAGTGCAATCTGCGAGAAAGTGAATGTAAATGGAGAAATAAATAAATGGAACACGAAGATTCGCACAAGATGGTATTGAAAAAAAGAAACTGTTTCAGATTGATACGATACGGAGTAGTTTGCTTATGTAACTACTTATTCGCATTAAAATGAAGATGATTTGTGTTAATGTAAAGAAGCGATTAAACTGAACTGGAGGAAAGCCCAATTTGAAGGGAGTTTCGTTTAAATAGAGTAATTAATGTGGGGTGTGGGTGAGAAAAAAATAAACACCTACACTTATACCCACATCCACACCCTAACTCCTTCAAAATGTTATACGATTATGGGTGTGGGTGTGGGTGTGGGTGTGAGTGTGTGGGTGTAGGCCAAATCAAAACCCACACCCACACCCCACACCCACACCCACACCAACACCACATCCACACCCACACCCACCCACACTCACACTCACACCCACACCCACACCCACACCCC